GAACCAACACAAACTCAACCCACTTATGGCGTCGGGTCCGGGAATCGAACCCGGGCCACATTGGTGGGAGGCGAGTGCTCTCACCACTGCGCCATCCCTACTCCCAGTCCACCTGCCACCTCCCATAAGCAACAACCTAGGCTTGACATTTTAGGTGGTCACTTATGGGAGGTTTGACAATATTTAAACTCACTTCTATATTTTTTTGAAGTAATTTTGTATCACCAAAATTTAACTGGTACACTTGGTTTGCTGTAGTGTTGATCTCCAGGGCTGCAAATACCTTCCCAGAAAATCGACATCCTAAAAGCAAGTATGAGATAAAAATATGAATATTTATTTCATGTAAATCTCTATGACCCCTTGGTGAAACATGCATATATGCACCATGCAAAAACTGGTGGCAGATATTAAAGAAAGTAACAAAACTCTTGACTGCTTCTCTCCTTTTCATGAAACATTTACACAAAAACTCTCACTAACATTTGATATATTTTTTTGCAAACCATCTTCAGATTACGTAGCAAACCCTACAAGATCATGACATGTGAACCATGTTTAAATAGAGGACATCCAGATGATTTCAGAGTAAATTTGAAGACAAAGAGATCCTCACTTCAGTAATACTCAATATAAGTTTGCTTTCATGAAGCAAATTCTTTCAATGGATCTTGAATTTACATGTACAATTTAATGGCAAGGGATACAAACATTTCACATTTGCTCTGCAATCAAGATAAGCACAATGTTATGTTGTACATTGTGAATAGTATACATACACAACCGGTGTCAAATTATAATAATGTAGAACAAGTCCCTTACCTTTCAAGGCAAAGTGCATTCCTCCAATGCCGCTGTAGAATTCAACCACACGAAGCATTTCGTCCGCCATATTGCTTTTTGATCAAATACATTGTAACCCGGCCTTTTCTAAGGGAAGAACTGTGGTATAAATTATCACAAGGTGTCTCCGGATTAATGTGTTTCTTCAGCGGTGAGCTTATCTGGGGGCTCAATTTCGTTGCTCTCTCTCTCTCTCTTTCTTAGAGCAAGTACCAGTTTAACCCCCCTGTTTACCTAATCAGCCCAGTGCCAGGAGGGTTTGACTCCAAATAGCTTTGTAAATGTCGCGTGGAAGCTTCCGTTCGATTTAGTCCCAGTTCTAATTTGTCGTGTTCTTACAACGTTACAATTTTCAGGCAAGGAGGGGTTTAACCTACACTGTAATGTTTCGCATGATAGCATGAAATAACAGGTATGTTCATGATTTTTTTTTTCTGAAGCTGTACTTAGAATGATCGATCTTCTCTAAGGTGATGTACCGAACTTTACTGCTTTCTTTTCTTTTCTCTTTTTTTTTTTTAAACAGGCCAACAAATTGAAATCTAGAAGATCCACTTGTCCGTGTCTGATCTGTGGCTCCGGCTACATACATGTAAGCTTAGCACTTTATTCTTTATATGTCAATATCTCAGATCATGCATACTGCACTCCAGTTAACTGGGATCTTTCACTGTAATTTTTACTATCCAATCAAAAGTAGATTTGTGTCTGTTGAGCCTTTCACGAATGAACGTTTTGCTACTTCCGGTTTTGTTAGCCTTCGATATTCAATTTGTATTTCACAGCTGTCGTCGGCAGCATATTGCAGACCTGATTTTCGCCATTGTTTTCTTGTTTTTCTTCAATTTCTGCACACCACAGCGACACCTGAAAAATGCTTTAATTTTTAGAGGGTTCCCCTCTGAAAGAGGTTCAACCCAGAATGTACTAGTCAAATTGGTGGCCTCATGGTTAGTGCTCAACTCCAGATTGAGCAGTCTGGGTTCGAGCACTGGCTGGGGACATTTTGTTATGGTCTTTGCAAGACACTATCCTCTTACTGTGCCTCAGAAAATGGGTACTGGCTAATTTAATGCTGGGGGAGGGGGAGGGGGGGAGGGGTAATCACTGATAAGCACCTGCCTGATAGGCCACTCGACTCATATACAGACTTTACCTTACTAGTCAATTGAAAGGATAAGATGTTATCTACCCTCTGAGGACTGCCTTACTCCACACCCTCCTCTCCTCTTCTGGCTTTCTGTCAGATTGCCTTGACAATATCGAGGTACATAAAAGGCAATATATGAGCATTTGAGAGGTGGGATGGCCTATGTTTACCACTGTGACTCTAACGATGGATCAACTTTGTGTACATTGTGAGCATTGTGTACTTAATTCTCACATTGTCTCAGATTTTTTTCTTATCTTTTGTACTTTGTTACTTAAAGGAGAAGGTCACTCCTGTCATTGCTAATTAAAACCTTGCACTCACTCACCAAAGTTTCAGCCTCTAAAGTGCAGGTTTTCCTTAAAAATTAAAAATATTAAGCTTTTTGGAGTGACCTTCTCCTTTCAGAAAAATTTACATGGTCACTTAAGTAAAGTACACTAACCCAGAATGTACTAGTCAATTGGTGGGAGGCACTGTGGCCTCATGGTTAGTGCTCAACTCCAGATTGAGCAGTTTGGGTTCAAGCCCTGGCTGGGGACATTGTGTTATGGTCTTTGCAAGACACTATTCTCTTACTGTGCCTTACTGTGACATATGCTGAGAGGCTGATTAAAAGCCATTATAGTCAGGCCTGACGAGTAAAATTCCTGTGTGATCATAATTACAAATGGAGTGCTTTTCATTTGTGCCGTAAAATTCTCTGGTAAAAACAAAACCAAAGTCATTACTATGGCCTATAACAAAGGAGACAAAAAATCCACTGAACCAATCAAAAAGGAGCTCCACAGGTGTCTGTTCCCAGCCAACTTTTGGATGGAGCTCCTCATCTCTGTCTCTATAGTGCATCACCATTTGTTTTTGTGTCTTCCGTGCTGCTGGCTAAACAGGTTTTTTAAGAAACAGATGGGTCTAACTTTTTTAAAGTTTTGATAATCAGTTTAGGTAGCCAGTTAACCTTGTTTATACCCTAATAACCAAATGATTATTTCTTGTTTTTAATTTGTTTTATATCCTCAGGGCCAATCGGAGCAAGCGTAGACAAGAGCTTTAAACAATGGCAACGGAAAGCATTTCCACACTGGTCATTGATGACAATCCACCACCACTCAACATAACTATTCCAAAGAAGAAAGATCTTCCAAGAAGGTCAACACCTTGGAGAGATGTAGAACTCCCCGTAGACTTTCTCTTAATTACAGTAAAAGATTGCGAGTTTTTAAGTTGCTATCATTTTTTAAAGAACTCTTTCAAAAGTTGTTCCACAACACTCGGCTTTGTATACTTTGGGAAGATGGGTGGAGATCAATCTCTGAAGCTCAGAGTCGCACTCATGAAGTGCTCCGAGGGTTCATCCGTTCCGGGTGGATCTTTAGTTGTTGTAAAAAATGCAGTTACCATTCTCCGACCCAAGGCTGTCTTCTGTGTGGGAGCCTGCTTAGGGCTGCAGCGCGGTAAAGCCAAGTTGGGAGATGTGGTTGTGTCTTCTAAATTAACTCAATATGCTGGAAAAAATGTCACTGATGGTGAAGTTCAGCCAATGGGTGGGGCGCGAGTTCCTGTTTCCAGAGATGTTTCCAGACTTATAAGGCATGCAGGAGATGGTTGGGAGGCACCTTTGTTAAACCCGAGTGGGCGAGAAGTTGAAGTGCATTGTGATGCCGAGTATTTGAGTGGTCCAGAATTTGTCCGTGCAAAGTGGCGTTGTGATGAACTGGTAGCGATGCACCCTGAAGCGATGGCCATTGATATGGAGGGTGAGGGTGAGTCACTGGTGCTAACCTTATTGTCACATACTTGTTCAGCCTCACAGAATTATTTATTTCATGGCTTGGTAAGAATTAAGCAGGTAGCATGCCTGTAGCAGATAAAGCTTAATCAAAATAACAGGGAGCGTTTTGACTTGAATATCAAAGTCTCGATCCTTTTTGCAACATAAATTGCTCATGGTACTGGAGGTAACTAGAGGATTACACGATTTTACTACAATGATAAACTGATATTTATAAAATAACTGAGACACTATGTGCACTCTTATTGGTCGATAGGTGTGTCTAGATAAGAGTGCATAAACACGGTTGTGACTTTTTAAGTTTGCGCATATTTTTGAAAAATATTTTATAAAAGCATTGCAATAGAATATATTTTCCGTGTTTACATTGCCACATCTAAACACTTGGGGGATGGGAGAATTCCCCGAGACTGCATCTCGGGTATGCATTAAACTGTCTCAAATTCTCCAAGGCCGACCTTGGGTGTAGATGAGGCTGTTTACACATGGAAAGAGTGCTCTATTGCTTTAATGCTAATGGTGTAAAAGAGTTTAAAATTTAGCTCGAACTATAAAACACCTCTGCACACTGCAAGGGTAGACAAAAGTAAGAGGCAGGTGATTATATCAATTGTTAAATTTGATGCTGTTTGGTTTCAGGGGTCTATGTAGCGGCATATGACATGAAGATGGAGTGGTTAGTTGTTAAGGGGATGGCTGGCTATGCAGATGGTACTGAATGTGACCTGGACAAGTGGGCGCACTTTGCAAGTGTTATGGCAGCTTCTGTCGTGAACAATATCTTGCTTGATTCTGTCATTTTCCAGTCCTGGCCGTACTTTAGAGGTAACAGCACTCTTTGACAACTAATCGAACTAATCTAACAATTTATTGGGTGTTGGTAATGGTTTAAGGTCTATAGTGGGCCTTTACAACAATCGGTGTCAGAATAGAAAATGCACCCTGCAACAAAGAAAAGTCTCATCTGACTTGTCAAAGTCAACTGTAGCTAATGTTTCTTTGCCATTGACGAAGTGCATTTATTGTTGTTCTTCATGTCTCCTGTGTCCCTATTTTTTCTGCTCCTGTTAAACTATGATGAAGACGGTTCAAATAAAAAGCTATGAGCTACTGATATGGCAAGGAATTATGAGACAGCGATATCCGACCATGTCTCTTTGGCAAGCGTGATCATATTTTCTTCTGATTTCATATTTTGAAATATTACGTCACAATGCTGAAGCAGGAAATCATACGGGATTTGAACGTGGTTGTGATAACCACATGCAAGTGATTGTGCTGGCAATTACATAACAGTCAGAAAAAAGCTTAAAAGTAATGGGGATCGAGGTCTTTTGGGATCTTCGTTGCCATTTCCAGTTCACAAACCTTCTTATAGCCTGCAAAAACAACCATTTTACTTCGCTAAAATTTTTACTCTAACCCCGAGAGGCATTTCTTGGGGCGGGAGCGAAGAAGGACGGCATTTTTCACAGGCTAAAACCTTCTATTTTTCTCTGAAAACGCCGTGGAGGAGGTGAGCAGATAAAATAGAATCCTTGTCACTTCTGATAATATTAAAATAAATATAACAATAGTTTTACTGGCCACGACTGATCCTGTTGATGTACATGTATTTATGTGCAAGTGTCCTCTTTCCAGGTGAACCTGCAGATGAGCAAATGCCGTTGACAGAACCCTGTGCAGAGTTCTCACGTTCAACAGCTATGGCCATTACAGGTACAATATTTCATCCCTATTTTTCATATTTTTTCCCGACTATCAAACCAGTATATTTACGTGTAGTGACCTTCCTTGTCATAGAAAAAAGACGGGACTGCTCGTCGAGAATTTTGAAAGGTACCCCTAAGAGTTACCACGATCGTGTTTTGTGGCCGTGGCTTGAAATGTTTTCACCCCTTAGAAGTACCAATTCCAAACCAACACATCAACTGACACTTTCATCATTTTAATTGCAATAACGACGATTGTAAATGAGACAAAAATTAAAAATCAGCTGATTGTTCGATGTCTCCTAACATTGTTTTTGGGTCAGTACCCTAAAAGATACCACGAAAGCTCCCGTGGTGGACTAGGTGAAACAACTTAAGAGCTACCAAAACTGCTTTTTAACCCCTGAAAGATACGACGAGCACTCCCGTTCTTTTTATATGGGGTCCCTCCCCCCCCCCCCCCCCCCCCCCNTTTAACCCCTGAAAGATACGACGAGCACTCCCGTTCTTTTTATATGGGGTCCCTCCCCCCCCCCTCCCCTCCCTCACCCTCCCCTGGAGTAGTCATAGTAGTAGTACAGTGTAGTTTTAGTTGTTTAGTCTTTTTCTGACCACAGCTATTTTAGTTGATTACCTTTTTCTGCTCTGCTGCCTCGCTTTGAAATCAATTCTATACGTGAGACTGCTTTCTTCTTGATGATGACGAGGATCTGTTTTGCGTGGTATTATAATTTTTGACTAAGAAAATTACTTCACTGTGATCGGGTGAGAGCAGGCCAATTTATCGTTAATCGGGCAATTAAGGATTTGCACTACTCGTGATATTTGAAAGTTCTTTCAAATTACACTGGCCTAAAGGCTCGCACAATTTTGAGAGAATTTTCAAATATCACTCGCTGGATAAATCTTTGATTGCATTCGCATTTACACGGTTACCTGTTCAATTACTGAGTGCGTTTTTCCTAAGAACGAATTAATAAATCCATCATTGCTAATTTCACTACCTGTTTTAATAGCAAGCAATCGATCCAAATAATCGAATTTCAATTGAACCAATGAACGCCGCGCTTCTGCAACTTCCATATGTCAACAGAACGTGAAAAATCATCTTCAATACACTCTTTTTTATAACGATATGCTGTATTTTATCAGAGTATCGAAGCTGAAATTTGGGAAATTTTAAAATCATTTTGAGAATAAGCACGAAGCTGAGATTTTGAGAAGAATGTAATTTGGTGGGTTGAAAAACTAGCCAAAAAGAAACAACAACAACAAAAAACAGCACTAGCCGTTATGTTCGATGCTACTGTACCTTATATTCGGCTTTAATGCCTGCAGGCTGGCTCTAAAATTACTTCAACACCATCCAGACACCAAATATATTTATTATATAATATAATAAATGTCATGCGCTACCCTCTTTTTTTTCCTCGTCGGACATTTTGAAAGGTACCAAGTTCCTGTTTTGTGGGCGTGACCTTAACATGCCAAACAAATATGGTACAAGCCTTTCGTTCATTGAATTGATCCAATCAAAAGTCGAGTATCGATCGGATCGAGTCTTATTTTGGGTTTTTAACTCTGCATTGTAAGAGCTGATCATTGAAACAGGTAATGAAATCAAATTTGCAATACTGAATATATAGATATTTTTTCATTTACTCCTGGAAGGTTCCCGTCGTTAATATTTCGAACGTAAGAACTATTTAGAACTTAGTAAGAAGTGCTGCGAACCAGCGCAGATCCCTAACCCGGGAACCTAAGCAGAGATCATAGTCAATTGAGGGAAATGGATATGAAACTTGGCAAAGTTCTTTGTTGTTGTTTTTGTTTGCTATTTTGGGAGTTGACCCTGCACACGACCTGGCAAAATACATGGAAGATAATGCGTGGGCGCGCATACCTTATTACATGAAATGTTCGCGACACGTTTATTTCGCGATTTTTTTGAGGTGCGCATATTTCGCGACACATTAATTCCGCGATTTGGCGGAGATTTTGTATTTTGAATCACTTTAACTTCGCGTTTTCGAGTAACACACAATTTATTTCCTTGGCAATGTTACTAAAACATGTCTTTGAATTAAACCGACTTTGTGAAAGGTTCAATAACGTCAAAAGTGACAAAAACGCAATGGCTGGACTATATCTTAACAGTAAAATAATGTGAGTCACTTAATTTTCGCGTCATGTTATATATGTTCGCGACACTTATTGCTCGCGTCACTTTGATTTCGCGATTTTTTTTAAATCGCGAAATTCGCGAAATTAACCGGTCGCGAAGATATTTACATGTAATAAGGTAGATATGGAATATACCTTCGAGTGTTCAACTCGATATCTCATGAGTAAGCGCAGCGAACGAGTGAGATATGAAGTTGAGCACGAGAAGAGATATTCCATATCTACAAGGAACCATGTATTATTCTGTTTATTATATAGACATGCTGATAACGACGTTTTTGACCATTTTCCGAAGATTTCCGAAGATTCTCCAAAAATTGTCCGAAGGCCACACAAACGTTTCCGAACAATTTTCGAACATTTCCGAAGATTTCTGAAGATTTCCGTAGATAACCGAAAATTGCCGAAGACTTTCGAGAAAGATCCGAAGATGTTTCAATCATACACCAACAAATTTAAGGAGGCTCAAAGCAGTTTCCAACACTTAGATTTTGATGGGTCGTTATAACCAATCTTTATCACTTGATGCTACAATCATGGTATCAAAAAACTGCCCCAACATTGGTGAACGCTTTGTTATTATTTTCTTGACACACTAGGTTACCATAGCAACAGTAAGACCTAAAAACACTCTTAATTACGGCTTTAGGGGCTTATAATTCAAAAACCGAACGGTAAAATTTTTTATATTTTCAACTTTTGATAAGCATGATTAGACACAACGTTTGGCAAAGTTTAAGAAAATTCTGTAGGCAGGGTTCAGAGCCACCTTAAATTGTCGAAAATTTAAGGTGGCTCTGAACCCTACCTACAGAATTTTTTAAGTACTCGATATCTTCACTAGTGAGGATATATATATGTTATTGGCCGGCTGGGAGGTCTGAAAAGTGAAAAACTGTGACCGAGGTCACAGTTTTTCACTATACGGACCGACCCTAAGCCGGCCAATAACATGTTCATCTTTTTTTCCTGCGGTAAATTGGCTCACAAGTGGGTTTGTTTACGCAACTGTGTCATTGAATCGGCTTACGTGCCGTCTACGAACCAATCGTAAAAAAATCTAACGAGCGAACGAGCGAGTAACTCAGATACTAGACAAAGAAAGATGGATTAAAGAACAGATTTATTTCGAACTACTTTACGTTAGTTGCATTTAGTTCATCAGTGAAGTTCTCCAAAACTGTTTTTCCGGTGTGAAATTTCGTGCAAAGTTTGAAGTTGTACCACAAAAGCAATTTCTGGCAGTCGTTCCGAATAACTCAAAATCAGACTTTTCTGCCGTAAATTAAGTAGCAGATAGCGAGGAAATTTGTTAACTGCATACCACAGAAATTCTCTCAAATACAGCAACGATCAGAGAGGTAAACTCGACTACAATTGACTCATTTTTTACTTAAAATTGTAGAGAGAGACACAGAGGATTGCGCGCCATTACAGCGCCGAGCTACAAACTGACAAAAAAACTCTCACAACTTCAAAAAACTCAATTGAATTTACTTACAGTGACTTTCCTTGCCTATTAAAAAGGTGAATAGAGATAAACTTGCGTTGATTAATCGTCTATGGAAGTGTAAAAAGGGCGAAAAATTGACGATTACCGCTAATTCGTTCACGAAAATAGATCAACACGACGGATTCCGCCCGCTGTGGCGGTCCGGATGAGAAAATACCGCCTGCTCCTGGAACCAATCAGATTGCAGGATTTGTTGAATTCCGCCCGCTCACGAGCTGAGAGAAAGATAAATGGAAAATACGCCACCCGAGTCCCGGATGTAGTTTCGTATGAATTTTACGAGTGGTGTATTTTCTAGTAAAACACTCTGTCTGTATAATAAAAAAGGCTGTTACGTGTGCTCATACAACTAACCAATAGATGTATTGCGATTATTTAATCATGCATAGTCATTGAGCATAACACAAAAGATGTGCAGGGTCAAGGACCTTCCAACATAAATCTTAGTCTGTTTGTTTGCTTCTTTGATGTTTACCGGCCTTCCTAACCATTTCCCTCTGTTAACTATGCAGAGCTGAGTTTGTGAACTCTGAACTGATCATTTCGACTTCCACTGTATCAGTTGAGGTTGACTTTCGCAAATTTGACTTAATATCTGTTACTTTCTGTTATATTACAGTCAAAGAAGGAACACCCAGTAATGAAGAATTAGAGACACTTTCACAGAAGATTGCAGAAGGCTGGAAACCGCTTGGACGTCGGTTGGAAATGGATGAATCAAAGTTAACAGCTTTTGACAAAGAAAACGAGGAATATTCAGAAAAGCCATATAAAATGTTACTATTTTGGAAGCAAAGGGAAGGTTCAGCTGCAACCTACCAGGTCTTGCATGACGCACTTTGTCATCCGCTAGTAAATCGCAGAGATTTGGCCGAGGAAATTTGCGGATACAAGTGATTACGAATGCCGTTTACACTTCTCAAACTTATTAATAATTCATCAAGTTTAAACAAAGGAAATCATGACCGTGACGGTGTTTGGACATCTGATCTTAATTAGCATAGATTTTAACGATCTTATTTCTCCGTTTTCTCCTTAGTTTTAGTCTCGATTGAGGAGACATATCAAACATTCAAGACAGTGTTTGACCACACTTCCAAACACCTCGAAATTCGTCAAAAATACTCCGCTGCGCGTCGTATTTTCAACTCTCCTCTCGGTGTTTGGAAATGTGGTCAAACACGGTCTTTCGTGTTTGATATATTACTTGACAATCTTGCATGCCGATGCTTGTCTGACTCGTCATTGTGTTGCGACCCAAGTTGTTCGAGTAACTGCGTGGTGTAACACACCCTGAGAGGAACGTGTGTCAGAAGGTGTTCATTGAAGCCATGCAATCCTATCAAAGTCTACAGCACTAACGAAATCTATAATCCTTATATTAACCAACAGTTAGCAAAACTGTGGCGCTTTCCATTCAACCCAAAATTTTGGAACCAACCATTTTTATTTTTATTTCTTACTTTTTTTTTTACCAGATTTAGAAAAAGAAAGTAAAACAGCATAAAAATGAAGTTAATTAGGCAAAGAAAACTACTCAGAATAGTAAGACAACTAAATAAGCTGAGTAGATAAAAAAAAATGATATGGTTTGCTTTGTTTGCCAAATGGGTAATCAGTGAGGAAAAAAAAAATAAAACACATACAAAAAATAAAAAAACAAGATACAAACAAATAGTTAAGTGAATGATAGGAAAATGAAGAGTAGTTTAACCGCACTTACCAGTTAATGATAAGACCAAATGGAACTTTCGAAAAGGTGCCAACGAGTGCAGAAATTTCCCGGAAAAGTTTCCCGAAAATACGAAAGTTTTTAAATTTTCATTTGCGAATTCTTCATCCAGAAATTAAGAGAGGAAAATAAAATGGAGCAAAAATTGCCGGAAAGAAATCTGTTCCATTTGCCTCTAAATGTCTGGAATACAAACCGAAGGTTTTGGTCGAGTATGGAAATCGTCTTTGTCTCGCAATGAAGTGACGAAACTAGTGTAACACATCTATAGTTCACTTCTTCTATTTTGCAAATCATATGCTAATTCAAAAATAGACATAACGGTTGTATAACGTTCTTTTAGACTTAGGTTAACACAAATGAATGGTTGGGAGAACCAAATTACGTAAACAAGACAGCTTTTGCATTGGTTTACATTGGTAAGATTGTTTACGAGTATTTCCACCACATCTATCAGTGCGAAACTAGAAGTAGTTGTTTTATATTATTAATTATTCCATTTTTTTATGACAGTTTGTATAGTTGTAATAAATGGCTTCGACTTTCCGCCATATCTATATAAAAGTATAGAAGTGGAAGTTTTGATGTCTATTTCTTATGACAGTTTGCACAGTTTTAGTCAATAACGTTTATTAGAGAAATTACCTAGGTAAATTATAAGTTATCATCGTAATCCCCATCGTCGAAAATGCGGCAATCATATTGGTGCCCCAAAACAATGAAACGGCCGCCATGTTGGTGTCCCAAACTAATCCGATGTTAGTTGAACTCTCTTTCTTATGTAAACACTTTCGTTCAATAAATTTGCATTGCTACTAGCCACATGAGTGAAAACACTATTGACTTGGTTACCAGAGAGGACAATGCTGGCTCTTGGTCACACAGCCGGGACCTATAGTACCCAGGTTTCCTCATACGCCACTCCTTTTCATTTCAATGACTATTGCTTCTCGAAGAGGCTGGTATTTTTGCGTCGTGATTTTATTTCCATACGAGAAACTTCAGTGCGAAGACACATTTTTTCGACAGGCCGTAAGATTCATGCTCGCCCAAGTATAAATAAATCAACCGAACGACATGATCCTCGTGTACCGTATTAGCAGTCCGCCGTTCTTTCCACCATTGCAATTCCATTGCAGCCTCCATTATTACCTGAGCCCGCAAGTAGGCTTGGGGATGCGCAGAAAGATGCGCAGTATGTTTTTCCGCTCTGATTGAAGAGAGCTGATATTTCTGGAGATTAGAAATTTAGCATGAACCACGAAAATGAAATCTTTTAGTTTTTTGCTTGATTTTTTCACAGATTTATTCATTCAGTGGAACACACCTCATAGTAATTTTCATCACATGGTTAAACCCTCGAACGTAAGCAAGTAAACTCACAACCCCTCCGTAGTAGAGAGAGGGGGGGGGGAGATAAATGCTAACCCTTGGCATCCCTTAGGGGATGTTTTTTTGTTAATCATGACCCTAAATGAAAACACACTACGTGAACAACGCATGAAAAAATCGAACCGGGGTATCGGTTTTGAAACTGCTTCCTTTGCATACCTTATCTAAACAAGCCAGTTAACTTATTCCTCACTCCCAGGTCAGTTAAGTCTACGAGCTTACCGGCATTCGTAAGTTTGTAACGGTAGTTTGAATCTACTGCATTGCTCATGTCAAGAAATTGCTGTAAACGTAAAAGGCGTTTGCGCGATCTGGAAAAGAATTGATGGAGGACAACAAATATAGTAATACTTTACCAGCAATACTTTTTTTTCCATTAACCCTTTAATTACCAACTACGCATATATGCGTAATTAATGGTCCTGCTCTTTGTACCACTTGTGACGTCATCAATTTAAATGTCATCAGATATTCTTGACAAGCAGATAGTAGCGCTAGGCTAGCGCTTTCCGCACAATGGTCAGGTTTAGATATCGACGACATTCCGACGTCGCAAATCGAAAAACAACGTTATCAGTTTTGGTGCAAAAACGGTGGTAATTGGTCCACAACGCCTATGATTGATCAAGGTCCATTTCTAGGCTTCGCCCGTGATTAACGTCCAACTTTTCACTGCAGCCAGAAAGAACATACAATGCAAAAGGTAGCCAGTGTAAAAGGGCCGAGAAAAACAGAAAGGAAAGGGCCAACAAACGAAATTGAGAGCGGTTAATGGCAAAAAGAAAAAGTCCAAATTTTGGCTTATGCGCATGCCCGGACTTGAAGTTTTGCTCAATTTTGTACCTAATCCTCGAAAAATCTCTCCTTTTAGTAAAAAAAAAAAAGGCTTTTTAAGCAAAACTTAGGCTTATTTAGCGTCATGGAAGCTAAAAAAAACCTGACTAAACGGTTAAAAGCGGTATTTTTTGGTGAAAGTTTGGTATTCAAAGGGTTAAACACCCGGTTTCGGATAAAGGTTTTACTTAATAGGAATCTTCATCCACCTAGCTATTGAAAAATCACTGAACTCCGATGACCATGGGTTATTACCATTTTGGAAAAAAATCCAGAAATTTCGGTTGAAAGTCAAATGGAACAGCTGTAATTTTTAGAAATTGTACACTACACAGACTAGCTACCTCCAGAGGTATTCCTCTTTTTCCTTTCGGAACAGAACGGCGGAAATTTCCTTACCGTTTCCCGAATTTTCCTGTTGTCAGTCTTTCATCAGCAGAACACAACGACGGGAAATCGAATTGCAAATGGTAAGCGCCACTTCTTTCGGTTGGTTTGCTGATTTTGGGGGTAAAAATAGAATAATAAAATAATGTTACGCTCAGTTCAGACGCCGAACTTTTCATGAGTCGAACCAAATACATTGAATTAAGTACATGAAAAGTTCGGCGTCTGAATCAGTTAAGAACGGCTATTTGAA